ATAAATTCTCATGCAACATAATACACTCAATCAAGTGATTGAGCTTTTATTATTTTGGGTAAGGCCCATTCAGGGAACCATACAGATTGCTCCCCTTAATTACATCTCCACAAGAAAGTAGAGAACCCCTTTCGATTCTGACCTAGAGAAATGATTGCATAGAACAAAAGAAAAGAACAATAGAGTACTTCTTAAAAAAGAACTTTTCATTTGCATTTCTTTTACAACGTGTACAAGAATGAGAAGAAAAAAAGAAATACAACTGATAAACTCTACAACAATACATTTCTTTCTTTCTTTTCTTTTTGATACAAAGAAGATTTCCTTCTCACTCCTTTCTTCACAATAAAATGTATTCAATCAGATGAAATTTTGACTATAGACATCCTTAATCCTCTAGATTTTGTATGCAAGAAAGGAACCGTAGTCAATCAAGTTGAATATTTTATTGTAGATGGTTTTTATCCCTCTGTTCTTCATTTTCATTTGAAGGGAACCATAATCAATCCTTATGAATTAGACTGTAGATGGTTTAATCCCTAACTTATCTTGATAGAGGGACCATAATCAATCAAGTGAAATCACCTGGTCGTAGATGGTTTATTTCCCTCCATTTCCTTGCTTAAAAGTAAAAATAAAAGAGAGAAGAAGAAGGATACATAGAAAAAGACATATGTAGATGGTTTTTATCCCTCTGTTCTTCATTTTCATTTGAAGGGAACCATAATCAGTCCTTATGAATTAGACTATAGATGGTTTAATCCCTAACTTATCTTGATAGAGGGACCATAATCAATCAAGTAAAAGCACCTGGTCATAGATGGTTTATTTCCCTCCATTTCCTTGCTTAAAAGTAAAAATAAAAGAGAGAGGAAGAAGGATACATAGAAGAAGACATATGTAGGAAGTATTAATAAAGATGACTTTCCTTTTCCTACCTGTATTAGTGAGATTTCTTTTCCTTCTCTATCTTCCCTCGAGAACTTCTCTTTTCTTCTCTCTTTATCTTGGCTTTTCTTAAGAACCTCTTGAGACACAATTTTCTCTGAAGAAGAGAGAGCCTCTAGCTTCCCCTTAAGGAGCTTACATAGGGAGTGGGGTAGTTATGCAACTACCCCTCCCCCTAGGTGAAGGACACCTGCCCCTCCCACTGAAAGAGAGAGAACTCTCAAACATGACACCTTCTTTTAGTATTGATGATTTAGTTAACAGACGAGCCAACCCACTTATTTGGGCTATAAATTATTTAAATATTGTTTGGATTTAAAAAATAAAATAAAATCCTTCAACAATGCCCCCTTGAGCCCAGGATATGGGCATGCAGGGCTCAAATAAGCAATTAGAGTCAAAACTTATGGAAGTTTTATCATTAAAAAAGAAGTGAGTCTAAGTTGGAAGAGTCCTAGTATGATCAAGACTCTTGTAGTATCTTTCGTCAGACAAAATCTGATATAATCTAACTACTTGATTGATTTGATGAAGCTTCATATGAACTCATCTTGTTAAATTGACAAGTCCTAGTGCAACTAGGACTCTTGATTTCATTATGCTTGACGTTATTAATTGTATGATTTGATTTGAATATTTTGAGGGTTAATCACAAATTTTCACAGTAGGAAGAGTCCTAGTTGAAGTAGGACTTCTTGATTTTAAAATATTACCTTTGATTCACCCTTAAATCTTGATCCTGAGTTGTTTTGACCAAGATGGTTAACTTTAAAAATCCAATTAACATTAAAAATCACATTTCAGTTGTTTTGACCAACTGAAATGTGATGGGATTTGCACCCAATTAACATTAAAAATCCAGGCTACAATTTCCTTGTAGACCTCCACCCGCTGGAATTCAGTGGGGCCAGCACTGTTTTAGGGGTGTAGTGGTTAGAACAGCTTGGGCCAATTTTGTGTGATTGGGCCCATTTGACAATGGTAGTCACTGTTGAGGAAGGCTTATTGACTTCAACTTGGTGAAGATCTTAGTCAAAATTATCTACTATTGACAAGAGTACCCTTATGAACTTCATTTTGCAACTGGAGCAAAGCTTTTAGCATAGTCTACTTCATGCACGTAAGAAAATCTTTTACCATTAATTTGGCCTTGTATCTCTTCATTGAGTCATGAGCCCTATGCTTTGCTATAAATACCCATTTACATCCAATAGCTTTCTTCCCTTCAAGAAGATTCTCTGATTCCCATGTACTGTTTCTGTGCAATGCACACATTTTTTCTCTTATACCATCTGTCCATTCAGGCGAAGCTAGGGCTTCTATAACAATCTTAGGATGACGACATTAGACACAAGTCACAACAGTTAGAAAGGTACGACAAGATGGAGACAAATGTTTACAAGAGGTAAGATGAGCAATAGGATGTTTGGTAGTACATGACCTTACACTTACATTTACCAAAAAAAGGACCTTACACCCTTACGAATAATCATAGGAACATCAAGGTCATCAATAGCAATGGAACATCATTATGAATAGGAGCATCAATAGGAACAATATCAGCGGGGGCATCAATAGGAACAATAGTACCTTGATCTGCCTCTTAAGAGTCTGATGATGTTGGTTTCACAGCTTTAGGGCTCTCCACATCTTGTAAGTTTTGATGATCCTTGTGGCGATGAGAATAAACATGAAGAGTAGACACAGGAAATAGACATAGGAAGTTGGACTTGCCTCTCCTCCAGAATATCGTTCTCCCCTTGAGGAGAGGCATAAAAAGAAAGGTTGACTCTCGAAAAAGGACACATCCGTAGAAACAAATTCTTCTGAGAATAAGGACCAAAGTATTTATATCCCTTCCAAGAGCAAGGATGGCCAAGGAAGACACAAGTAATAGACTTAGAGTTCAACTTCCCACACAAAGGAGATAAGTTGTGAACAAAACTATGATAACCAAAGATTTGAAGTGAAGAAAGCATCAAGGACTTGGGAAACAACAACTGATGTGGGGCCCAATATTGTAATGCTCAAGAGGGCATCCAATTAATCAAGTATGTTGTAGCAGTTAGTACAACAGTAGCCCAAAACTTCTTAAGAGCATCCATATGTAGTAGTAAATTGTAAGCAACTTCAAGAAGATGGTGATTCTTCATTTCAGAAACACCATTTTGCTATGGTGTTCTAGAACATGAACTTCGATAGAAAGAACTTCTAGAAGAAAATAAAAACACCTCCTAATCTCTCTTAAAGTATTCTCTTCCATTGTTTCACTGAAATATCTAAATCTCCAGTCTCCACATGGAACAAAGTAAAAATCATATGATGAAAATCTTGAATTGTTTTAGGCGCCTCCTCTCTAGAACAAAGAGGATAAATCCATCTATATAGTGATAGTCATCAATAAAACTGATAAAATATTGATAACCACACTCAGCAATAATAGAAGTAGGGCCCCAAACATCAAAATAAATAATATGAAAAGGAACAGAAGATCTTTTCTTACTTTAAGAAAATTGGTTCTACAATGCTTATTTAATCGGCATGTTTGACAACGTAAAGAAGACACTTAGACAAATGGTTGTGATCTGCTCTGAAATAGCTGTGTTTAATAGCAAATAAGAGGAGAAAATAAATCTGATCTGTCCTGGTTCAAGGAGGTGAAGGAGGGATGAAAGCAGAGAGATCGAGCTAATTGACCTCAACTTCCACCCCACCTTTTATTTTATTATAATAAACCTGCAATTACACAACTACCCTCAATTAAAAATAAATAAAGAAAGAAATAACAAAAAGACAAATGCTGTAATTTAATACTCCACCTCAAGTTGGACCATATATGTCATAAAGCTCCAAATCCATGCAAGGTTCAAGCCTTTGGTGAAGAGGTCAACTAGTTGATCTTTAGATTTCACATAGGATGCAAACAAATAGAAATATACAATGGATCTTATTCAATTAGCTCATCTCATTGACCCCATGAAACTCAATGTGAAGTTTTCATGTGATGGTACACTTTTTCAATATCCCACAATTAACTAGTTATTTCACAATTATCTTTTGCCTCAAACTCTTGTTTTCTTTATTGACTACTTCTCCCTCTTTCTTTCTTATCTCTCCTCCATTTTCAACCACTCTAGGAAATTCTTAAGTGCAGTCATCATAGGTTGATTTATAGCATTCTCTAACATAAGTACGTTACAAATAAATTGTATTTTCTTAATATAAACACTTAATTTTGGTTTATTTGTATTGCTTCTTCATTTGAATTAAGTAGGCAGGTGCAAGTGATTCAGTTCAGCCACTTCAATTGTTATTAGCCCTTAAGCTTTATTTTTCTCATTTGTTACTAATGAGATATAAGGATGTATGTACCATTAATACAATGCAGCTCATATATATGGATGCCACTAGATGCTTGACATTTCTGACATCAATGATCATAGTTTTTGAGTTTTTCTAGTCCTTGGACCTTCGGAGGTTTTTTCCTCCCAAGGCAACAATCTTCCCTTACTATCATATTGGTTAGAACTTGCTCATTTATGATACTAGTTGGTGTGTTAATCACTTGAATAATGGTCAAATCAACAAGTATATACATGTCATATTTAAAATTAACCCCTATGAAACTTATCGGAAAAAATTAACCCTTATGACCTTAATTTGTTTGTATTTATCAGTAGCTCATATATATGGGTGATAACAAATGCTTGACCCATCTGACTACAATAATAATAGTTGTTGAGTTATTTCCCAAAGCAATAGAACAGTTTTCCTGTCATATTGGTGAAAAGTTTCTCATATATGATGCCAGTTTGTGTGTTAATCACTAAAACAATGGTCAAATTAACAAGCATATACCTGTTCACGTTTAAATTACCTATTACTATCGGCCTTAATTTGTTTGTGTTTATCAAGATACCCTCCTTTCTGAACGAGAATATAGCATTGAAGGTGTTTGCAGGACTGTTGGCTTGTCAATTTAACCTTGTTTGATGTCCCGCATCTTAAGATTTGCCTCCTCATTTAGTTTTGCCTTTTCTTGTGGGTTGCAGCCAGGTATGGTCACAACTGATCTTCTAATGTCCGGTGCTAACACCAAGCAGGTCGACTACAAAATTGCATAGCCGTTTTTCATTTTCCCATGGCTTTTCCTAATAGGATACTAACAGATGGCTTCTGATGCAGGCCAAATTTTTCATTAATGTTTTGGCAGAACCAGCAGAAGTGGTAAGATGTTGTACCTGTTTGGTGGTAATAGAGAAGCTACTCATGGGATGCATGCAACCTAGTACCATAGTATTTCATGTTCAATATTTCTCATTGCCTTAAAGCTAATTTATGGGATTAATGATCTAATGATCATCGTGGATAAGGATCTACTATGAGACATAATTGAAAACATCCGCTTCATAGTTCAGAAGCTAGCCTACTTATTTCTCTTCTCTAACTAAACAACATGAAACCTCTACGAGGGATAAAGAAAGAAAAGAGGAACATCAACTGAAATATGAATAATGTTTCAAATCAAGATTGATGTCCAGTGAATATACAGAAATTTAATATTAGGAATAAGCAACATAAGTGACAAATATAACTTAATAACTATTGATCAAGTGGGATAATTAGGCAAATCCACTTTTCCTCTCCAACCTTCATGTGTTCTGCTCCTCATGTCATATAGGTGACATCGGTAGCCATATGGACAAAGTTGAGCAGACTAAGGGAGCCCTATATTTTGGTTGTTTTATGTTTTTACTCAATTTTGGTAATGTTTTGAAGATCATCAGAAACCTTCATTTTTTTTTACAATTTTTTGACTGATTGTATGTGGTTTTATATTTTTTCTGATGCAATTTAAATATTCTTGAATTTTTTATGAATCATTTTTACCACCATGTATGATCTTTGGCCTTTATGATGTCTTCCTTGTGAATCAGCTGGTGGTACTTGGTAGATGATTATTTGTGGGGTCTTGAAGATATGCCCTTAAAATTTGGTGATTTTAGTTACTTTTTTTTTTCAACTGTGTTTGTTCCACACTTGATTGCCACTGTTTAAACTTTAAAACAAGGAAATTGAAGCTGGTTTTCATATATAAGTTGGCAAATCAAGTAAGGGATGTCATGGTAATCCAAACGATAGAGGATCTTTGAGCAGTCCATGCCAGAATCTCTAGAGCATCTGCTACTCTATTGCCTTCTCTGAAAATATAATTGAAGCTTATTTCCATCTCACATCTAGAACAAGAGAATTAAATTAATATTTGTTCTTCTCTGTAGTTGATTTTCTTATTCTCTTGATATAGTGTTAAAGAAGCACATTAATTCTTCTTTTCTCTCTGTTATTTTCTAGTAATTCTTTGCTACTAGAAATAAACTAACAACTACTCTCTAGATATCCTCTAAATTCAGATCCTATTTCAAGTATTTTGAAGCAAGGCCACCCATCGACCTTGCCTTCAATCTACCAGTCCCGATGTTAGTTGGTATTAGAGTTATGGTGCCTCCTAAAAATGCCTTTAATCCTGGTTCCACTGAAGAAATAAGAATAGTTACTAAGAAGACAACAAACAACAAGAAGAACAGAGATACAAACAAGAGCTGCTATGACATCAACAAAAACTAAAGGTATCATCTCGTAGCTTAGCACTCTCATTAATCAAATTATGCGACCACAAGAACCACAATTTTCTAGCCATCCAGAATTTGTAAGGCAAACTAGCTTTGGGAATCAATTTCAATCTTATTACTAGCCCACTAGGCCTCAATTTCAGCCAACAAATTGACAAGACAACTGGTGGGAAGCTGGAATTAAATCAGAGATTCCAGAGTTCATGGGAGAATACGAAATTGATGATTTCCTTGATTGGATGACTATGGTGGAAGAGGTACTTTGGTATAAAGAAGTACCAGCCAATAAGCAAGTTGTTTTGGGGGGAAGACTAAGGGGTTGAGTAGGTACATGGTGGCAAATTGTGAAGATTCAAAGAGGCCAATATTTTCATCCATCAATCACAATATTATTGGGGAGTTCTGCAAATTAATTTCTATAAAAAAATTGGGCGAGACACAATAGAAATTCAATTGATTGCAACATACTTTGGTTAAAGCCCTCTATGTATGATGCCTTACAGGTAGACACTTTTGCATCTATTTATGAGGCTTAAATAAAAGCTCAGGCAGTTGAAATGTTTACCAAGTTTCTGTTTAGTCAAGGCTTTGAGGAGTTCTATATATACATGTAAATCTATTCAGATAAGGAGAATTGTATGAGAATTGAGTGAGTTAATTTTTGTTTTTTATATAATTACTTTTTCCTCTTGAAACTAGTGTTGGAGAAACATGTAATTTCTTCTATTCTCTTCTATATTTTCTGGTATTTTTTTTTTATCGATGACATAACCAAATCATTATTAATAAGGAAAAGAAAACAGTTTACAGCAGGGAGAGGTAAACTCTCTTAACTCTTCCCAGTAAAAATAGAACAATTACATCATTGTCCAAAACATTTCAACCCTTCCCACCCCTTGTTTAGCTAGTGCATCCGCAAAGGAATTTGCGCTTCTTTTGACCCATTTCACTCTCACTTCCTTACCCTGAGTCAACCATTTGAATTTTCTTCTTTAATTAATGTACTGCCACATACCAACATCCTCCTTTTTTAGCCAACCTATTACTACTTTTGAGTATCCTTCAATGCTCAACCTGTTTATGTTAAGATCCTTAGCCCTTTCTGCACCCTCCAATACAGCCATTATTTCAGCTTGGAGAGAGTCTCCTATTCCTATTGAGCCTGAAAACAAGGCAGTGACAGCACCTCCTTCACTAAGATCCTCCAATCCCAGTAGTCCTAGGATTTCCTTCACTTTTCCCATCAAAGTTTAGTTTTATGAAACCTGCATCTGGTGGGGTCCACAAAGGAAGGATACAGTTCTAGTAGGAGTTGAGTCTGCTACTTCTGAAGGGATGAGAGATCCATCCCATGGACGCCCAAAGATTGCGGAATAAGGGGCGAATTTCAAAAATTTTTCTCTCCCTTCAACTGGGAATCGCATTCCCTATTTTAGAAAATCATATTTTCAAGGATCATCCTTGAACCATGAACTGAACCAAATCTGAACCAGAAGGAGTAGGAGAGGGTTATACCTGATACGGAGAAGTAGTA